GTCACATGAAGGTTCATTTGATGATATTATAGGAGAACTCGTCGAGTCTTTGCTAAACTCGACGAATAGAGTTGGGAGGGGGTCAGATGAAAGAATAGGGACTCGGCGAGTTGGCGGCCCAACTTGGCGTGTCACGTCAATTGGAAGTTGACTTTGACCAGGATATTGACTTTGACTAGGGTTATAATAGTCATTTTACCCTAAGAGTTGTTATCAGCTTCTAACTAAGTGTCTTTATGGGAATTATAGCGGGAGAATCGTTGGAGCAGCAGACAGAGACTTCTCACTCGAATTGACAACATTCATTCATACAAGGTGAGTTACCTTCCAGTAGCGGTGGGTCTACGGCCACAATGTCGATCCACCAGTAGGAGTTGTATGTTAGATGATTCTCTTTGTGATATTCATCTAGGTTTTCTACTACCTGATAGGTTATATGTTGAATAATCCCCAAGTTTGGTTGTTAAGAACGAAGGGTAGGTCGGGAACACCAGATTTGCCTGACAGTATGTTATGATATGTTTATATGTTGGCATGATATGTTATATGTGATAGTGGTAGTAGGAGGGGAATAGTCCCCGAGGTTCGGTTGTTAGGACCGAAGGGTAGGTCAGCACCCCCAGAATGGCTTGACACGGGTAGGTCGGCACCCCATAATGGTTGTACCGGGTAGGTCGGCACCCCAGAATGGCCGTACCAGGTAGGTCGGGCACCCCAAAATTTCCCGGCAGTATGTATGCTATATGATTGTATGGTATATGGTACGATGGGGGAACTCACTAAGCTTTGTGCTTATAGTTTTCAGTTTTGTTTCAGGTACCTCTTCAGCGAAGGGGAAATAGCTGGTGCGGTAGCTGCACATCATACACACATTGGATTTCCGCATTACGAGCTTTCTTGTGATTGTACTCTGACAATGTTACTAATTTTATGATATGATTTTCAGACATGAGATTATGGTTTACAATTGTTATAACTTGATGATGTTTTCATATAAATGATTGCTAAATCGTTATATTAAAACTGAAATTTTTGGACTCGAAATTTGGGACGTTACAATCCAAGTACGAAACAAGGAAGAATCTTATACCACATACAAGGGCCAGTTCTAATTATGGTGTGGACCGAGATTTTCCCAGGAAGGAGGATTCAAGTTATCTTTTCCGAATCTATGAAACATCAGTCATGTTGCACAGAGGAGAGGTAATCAGCTACAGGTGGGGGATTTTTGTTAGAACTTCTCTACTGTTAGGCCTTGAGACCTTATGGAATTGGGCCTTGAGTATCTTTTGGATTTGGTTCATCATTGGGCTTCAGGTGCCATTGAGTTTGGGCCATGGTTAATTGGGACAATTGTGGGAAGGGTAAAATTGTCTTTTACCCTAGGAGTCGAGTTTAGTAAATTAAAGTCCTGAATACGGGTTATGACTCAAGCATTGATTTTGGTTGTATTTGATTGGTTAGCACGGGGATTCTCCGATACAGTAGCCCGAGCATTTGTTGGATTTTTAGCGGACTGAGGTGAGTTTGCTCACTATACTGTAGGACACTAGGGATTTAAATAGACTCCGAGTTGAAATAGACATGGGGTTGAAATAGACCCGGTACAACCTTGTACTAACATATAAGTTGAAATAGACTCAGGGGTGAAATAGACCCAAGGGTAAAATAGACCCGGTACAACCTTGAGCTGACGTATATGTATGGTGTGCGGTATTTTACGGAACCTAATAAGCTTTTTTCATATGTTTTATGTTTATAGTTTAAGATACTTACAGTTCAAAAGGGACGGGCCCGACGTGATCACAATGCGTCCATCCATGTTTCCACAACTTTATGATTTTGGGATTGTACTCTGATAGATATTTTTACTCTGATATACTTTTGAAAGATTGAAACGGATAAATGGTGTTTATGGTGGAATTAAACATGAATTTTTTTTACCTTATAAATTTTTGGGATGTTACATGTTGTCAAGCATATCCTTTGCTATTTATAAGGAACTATGTCTTATGGACTAAAAATACAACGCCATTTTGATCTCAAGCTACATGCTTACACTGATACTAAATATATGTTCATTATAACCTACTTTGACGATGACTAGGTTGACTGTCTAGATGGTTGTCGATCCATGGGGAGCTATACGATATATCTTGGTTCTAAACTTGTTTCATGGTCTGCTAGCAAACAACGCACTGTCTCTCGGACATCAATAGAATCTGAGTATAAGGCACTAGTAGATACAGTTGTTGAACTTACTTGGATTCAAACCCTTCTAGGAGAACTTTATGTCCTTCTAAAAATTGTCCCTATATTATGGTGTGATAACTACCTATCTTTAAGATAATCTTGCATTTCATGCACTCACCTAACATGTTGAAGTCGATTTCAGCTTTGTTCATGAGAATGTAGCTCAAGGAAATCTTTCAGTTTAGTGCATCAACACAAATGACCAGATTGCTGACATATTCACAAAGCCATTGTATTCACAACAATTTCTAAAGTTATCGTCCAAGCTACAGATCGCTCCCTGACCTTAGCTTGTGGGGGAATATTAGACGATAATACTAAATAAGGTTATCGTCACAGTATCCCAACATTGTTTCGTATATTGGTTTAAATAGTCCCTCATGATTTTTTTTGCCTTTGAAGGGTACAAACTTATGTTTAACCGGTTAATTACGTACCTTCACCCATTTTAGAAGCTTACTCTGTCTTGTCAACTGCCAACTAAGCAGGTGAGTTAACAATGACTCGGTGGTGAGTCGAATCATTGTTTCTATATAAGTAAAGAGTTATTATGCTCATTTACTTCCACCAACCCTCCAACCACCCTTAGAGGAGGAGGATGAGTAGTGGCAGTAAAAAATGTTATACGAGTGTTTATAAATTATATTGATTGATTCCAAGTGTGTTTATATGAACTCAATGGTTGTAGAAGGATGTGTTTGTTGAACATTGGGATACGACGAGGGAAATTGCATTTGTGGTGAGGAAATTTTCACCATTTCTAGGGTACAATTTCGAAGATATTTTGAAGCCAAAATACAAGTTTTTAGTAAACACAATGCAAAAACCATTTTAAAGGTGGTTGAGTATCCAAGATATTTTAGCTTATAAGACACGTTGGGTAAGAATGATGAAGAGTTTACAACTAATTATATTAATCTACCCCCTCCTCCATGAATAGAAGAAGCTTCACCTTATTTATTATGGATCATAAGTTTGTTAAATGTGACAGAAAGGGCACTGAAATTACGAAAGTTTAGTGGAAAAAATTCTAAGTGTCTCCTCCCCTTAAGCAGAAGTGGAATGTAGCACCAAGAATTAATGATAAGTTTGAAGGGTTTTGAGCATTCTAACACTCTTAAGGTGTACATGCAACCTTAAATACATTGGATCTATGTTTTCTCTAATATACATGCAAAATTGAACTTTCCAAGGTATTAACCTAACTAGCATACAAACTTGGATACTTGGGTAATAAAACAAGTCAGAAGACATACCTTTTGTTGTAGTTGGAAGCCTTCGACCTTTAAGAACTTAGTGCCCCAAGTGTTGCACCTCAAATGGAATCACCCAACACCACCAACAATGTAGGAACTTGAGAGGAGGTTACTTGCACTCATAAAATTGGCTAGCCCTTTTGTGTTTCCACTAGTGACTCCTTAGTGCCACTTAAGTGCCAATTTCATGAGCTATAGGGGTTCTTATATAGTGTGGCAAACTAGGGTTACACCATGTAAATCCTAATGACTTTCCATATCCCACATGATCCATGGATTAAAACCTCCATGGAGTATCCATGGCTGACCACATGGGTTTAGCCCATCATGAAGAACTATGGATCATAAGCCCACATTATAAGAATGAATGATTTACATAATCAATCCCCATATATTTAATTAGTCTCTTTTGATCACAAAATGAATTCCAAATTATTCTTGATCAATACTAATTAAATAATATGATTTCATATTAATATATTAGAACTTATAATATATTAATAAACCATAAACAACCTCTTCTCAATTATCCATCATTCAGATTGTTCCGGTGCCATGCAACCCAAATGGACCATGCTACTCTTGGGTCAAGTACATACCAATTATAATTATGGGCTTAGACACCTAATTCAAAAGTCTCCCACTTGGATAAGTCTAATAACTATTACTGTAAGCATGATTCCAACCCGACTAGCAATCATAGATCTTAAAGCCACTGTCGAACTCACACCTAGTCAATGACGTGTCCATTAGATCAGGGATCATATATTCCTCCATTCTAGATATCATATGGACTGAGACACGGATTATAATCATTCTCTCTATCCATCTGTTGTTTCATGATTTCCGATTTATGACGACCAACTAATTGAACAAATCAAATCAGCCCGGGCCTGGTGTCATAACTAAATCATCGAGGGGCCCACATATATCGCTTTTATCCACATAGGGTAAAGGAACGAATAAACTTCGACCCAAATGTTGGCTTGTACTTACTCATCAAATTACACACAACAATATTTTTTATAATGTTGAGCGTGTCAAACCCAACAAATAAAGGGGTAAAATAACTCCTTAAACACTACTACTTTGTACTAGAAATCTAATACAAGGTAAGTAGGGTCGATCCACAGAGACACGGAACAAATGTTTATACCTTTTTGCGGAAGGTGCAATAATGGTCACATAAATGGGGGGTTGGTATGCAATGATTTAAACAAAAGAATAAAGCAATAAGTAAATGATCAATTAAATGAAACAAGTTCAGGATTTGTGAGAACTCCAACTCTATCACTACAAGAAAAAGACCCTTTTACGACGCGCAAAACACGACGCTCTTTGATTTATGTTACGCATTAGAGAGCGACATTAAAAAAGTGTCATCTCTTTAAAAATTTTAAGGATTTAGGTCGTGCATTACTGAGTGCCCTTAAGTTAGTGTGTCATGTAAAAATATTAAAAACACGGAAGGCACTTGTTCGTCGTCTGTGAATGTCGTTTTATATTTTTTTTAAGAAGCGCGCGTCTCGGAGGGAAAATGAAATCCCCAAATTTTTTAAACCCCCACTTTCTTCTCCCTCGTCTCCACCCCTCATCCACATCCACTACCTCCGATCCTCATTTGCTCTTCTAGCCTCAAACTACGGTGATGCACCTTCCTTCTTGAAGAATTCTTTATTTAACACCATCGTCCGATTATGTGAGCCCAAGGAATTGACCAAGACGAAGAAGATTATGGATCAATTGCTTCACATCATGTTTAAGGTTAAGGGTTTGAGTTAGTCGGCAACAGGTAATCGAATTTTGCCCAATATATATTTATACTCTCAAACTGTTTATTTGTCCGATTGGATGCAAATTTACTATTAAATTTGGGGATTTTCATTTAAACCCCCCGCGCCTCTTCTTGTTTGTAGCTAAACAACCGTGAATTTGTCAAGAGTGATCGGAAGAGGAAAAATAGAAGATAGAAGAAGAAGAAGAAGAAAAGCGAACAAACATGATTTATTGACCTGATGTGTTAATCCGTGATCAGGTCTTCTGAGCGAAGAGAAGATCTGAGGCTCAATTATACGCTCCTCATTTTCCTTTCATTTAGGTTCCGTTCTAAATCATTTTAGGGTATGTTTCTTCAATTTTGTTTGTTAACCAATACACCACTGATTCTCTTCTCTTATTCTCTAAAGTTCAGTTTTTTTGTTTGGTTGTTTCTCTCCGTGATGAATAATTTATGTCTATTCCGTTTCACTTTCTACTCTCTAACCCTAACTTTGGTCACTAGTTATCCCGTAACCATCCACTGCCTTAGGTTTGATTTCAACTTTTTTTCTTATTTATTTCAGTTTATTGCTTTGAAAAGATTCATCGACATCTTCAATCTTATTATTTTTCTCAATTATGGTATTTATGATATGATGTAGGTTCCAGAAATTTACGTTAGACAATGATGCTAAATTGAAGAAAATGGGTTCCAGAAATTTACGTTAGTAGCTTTGATTTTAAATAAATTGATTATGTTATTATATGGATTTGGAGGAAATTAGAAATCATGTTATAATGTTTGATGATCTGTACGTGCATAAAAGTACATCTAAAACAAAAATCTTAGATTAAACAAAACTGAAGCATTTAATGAGATGTAATTACTAACTTTTGTTGGAGATGCAAATGCTAAACAAAGAAAACTGAAGCATTAATTGAGAACCTTTATAATTCGATTTCATTTAGATCTTCAGTGGATATTTAGGGCTAACAAAGAAAACTGAAGCATTTAATGAGATGTAATTACTAACTTTCGTTCAAGGTAACCCCTGTTATGAATACATGTAAAAATTTATTTATCTTTTTCGCTCGCCACTTGCTATCCATGTGCTGCTCTCTCATAGTTGATATCTAACAACAAAGACCTGATCAGTCTAGTTTCCTTGTTTTTTTTCTTCTTCTTATAATTCTTGAATACATGCAGATTTTTTTAAGACTTCCAGTTTTGTTTTTTGTTCAGTGATATTGGTGGTGAGGCAAGTATATCTGCACTATGGGAGAGATATCAAAGTGTCTCTGAAAAGGTATTGCGATATCAAAGCATAAACTATTTATGGATTAAAATGGGAAAATGACTTATATGGGTAAGAAAGTTTTAATAAAGACCATCAAAGTATTGTTTGTTTAAAAAACACCATCTAACTATATATTTGTATAAAAAACACCAACCAAGTTTACCATATTGTCAAATCTAATAGTTGGTAACCTGCATCTGTCGGTCAAAAAAAAAAAATACCTGATCATTTTAAAAATTGAAATTATAAATGACATGGCATCCTTTTTTAGTCTTATGTGGATTAATTGCAAGGGAAGATCCATTTTCTCAGCGTTCTTTCTCAAAATCAGGAGGGAGTCAACACAGAACCCTCTCTAGGGTTCGTTTCTGCCCCTGTATACAGTTATTTTTGTTTAAATTGATTGATTTTAACAGTTGACGAATCTGCTCCTGCTTTTGGCTAATCACACATACATCTTTTTTATGACCATATTGCCCCTGTATACAATTTTTTTTTGTTAGAATTGACTGATTTTACCAGTCAATTAAGGTGTTGTTTAGAAACTATTAGTATCCAAGACCATTTACATGATCGTGCACAAAGACGAATTTGCCCTTGATTGTGACCAAACTGCCCCATGTATACATATTTTTTATTACTAAAAACACCCGCTGTCCTAGAAAAATATGACACTTCTATACAAAAGCTAATGCCAATTTCTCACTACAAATCAACTAATAAGAAAAGAAGTGGGGCAACTCTCTAAAATGACCAAAATTTGAATTGCAGTGTCACAAATTGACAATTTTTAAGGCTATAATGAAATAATGCTTTGTTTTGTAAAATATACAAAATCCGTTTGTTATTGTGTGCAACTAATCCACAAACATTTACATAATTCTCGTTAGTGTACTTTGCAAAGTGGTGCTAAAGTAATTTAGGCAACAAAAGTACATATAACTATATTAGTATTCTCTAAATAATCATATATAATGAAATAATGGTTTGTTTTGTAAAATATACAACCCATACTGTATTTTTGATAAAAAAAAAATAATAATGATTTTAAGAGATTTTGTCCAAAATGCCCCTATATACTCTTTTTTTTTGATAAAAAATTAACGATGTAATAGTTTTTTACTAAAATGCCCGTATATACTATTTAACAGGTTTGACTCCATCTGAATTGTGATTCAGCTTAAAATTGAATGCCATTTTGACAATTTTTTTGCTTTTAAGACTATTTACTGCTGAAAATATGTCAAATTTGTTACATTTTGCTGCTATAAATAGTAAAAAAATAACTAAAAGTCTACAAAGATTCAAGGTAACAGTAAATAATACTGGCATTTCCAGCAGCTAATCTTCAATTGCAGGGACTAAACTTTGTCATTTTTAGCAGCAAACTTTATCAACCAACAAAAAGAGGTGTTAATAAAGAATCTAAATATTGTAACAGCATCAAAACATGACCTGCACTCAAAACCCTCCAAAACAACCCATACACTCAATTGTAACAGCCCCTCTATTGTGATTCCTTTAGATTCAAGGTAACATGGTTTTAAACGAAAAGATCATTTACATAAATTCTTTCTTAGCTTGTTTACATAAATTCATTTTCTGTCAATTCCTTTCAAGACAAAAAGAAAGAAAGCAGGAACTTATAGCCATGCAAGTAATTTCATTATTTTTCTCATTAACGATTGTACTTCCTTTGCTCTTTCTTGCATAATAATAAACAGATTCAAAGAGGAGTGGAGCCATATGACCACCTGATGCCCCAAATCAATTTATTTGAGCTGGATTTGAACGATTTACAGGGAGAAGAAGAAAATCAATTGTCAAGAGGATAGGAGATGTATGACCACCCACCTGATGCCCTAAATTGATTTATAATATGTATTTTTCATTTAATGCTGAGTAGATGAGGTTGCAGAAATTACTGCTGCTAAAAAAGAGGAGGTACGACAAGATAAAGAGGTGTGGTTCTTTTCCATTTTGTCTTGTGACTTTGATATTGTTTTCTGAGTTGGATGTTTGGTCTGATAAATTATTTTTACAGGAGAGTAAGCTGAGTAGGGTTGATTTGAAATAGGTACTGAATATTACCTTTTCACATGCGATTTTTTCTAGCTTAATGAGACATTTATAACAAATAATTTTGAATTTTTGTTGTCTTTTGTAGGGAAATCCATCAAGTTCATCAAGGCCAGCTCTTGAATTACCACAGAGGGTAAACTTCAATCTTATACAAATACAATGATTTGCTAAATTCAAGAAATAGCAATGCACGTTTACTTATTACTTTTATTAAAACATCCTAGTTTAATTTGTTTCCATTATAGGATTGTATGTTTAATTTATTACTTTCATTAAAACATCCTAGTATAATTTCTAGCTTAATGAGACATTTATTACTTTTAGCAGAGATCGGTATATATGAGCTTTTTGCTATCAAACATTGTTGGGGAAGAAGGTTGAAACTTGCTCTTTGTGAAGGTAATTTTTTTTCTTAATGTATTATCCTCTATATTCTTGATATTTTCCTACTTTTTAAATCTTTTTATCAAATTCTCACTTTTGGAGGTGGCCATAAGAAATGGTAAGCAAAGGGTAATTTGGTATGGTTCAGGTTGACAAGGAGTTGTTGTATCTATTCAGACTAGGCTTAGAGCAATAGTTGCAAGAGATGAGTTCAGAAGAAAAAGAAACAAGGCTGCAACTATAGTTCAGGTACTATGGATGAATTATGTTTGTAAAGTATTTAAGAAAATGATTATAAACAAGGGTGAATTTGTACAGATAAGTTAGCTACCTGCAGGTTGATCTTGAATAAGCAAAGGGGCAATGGATTGTATTTTTTGTATCTAATTCGTTTGTAAATTTTTGTTACAACTTCTATTGATTTGTTTTATCTTTCCACGGAATGATTATTTGTATGATATTAAATTTATACAATGGATTCTATTTTTTGTATATGATATTTTATTTTCTATTATGAAACATTAAATACAAATTTATTTTGAAAATAAGTAAATCTATAAATAATATATTTTTTTTAAACATTTAACTTTATGATACGCAAAAACGTGTGTCGTCTTCATTTATGACATGGCCTTTCTTGACAGCGGCTTTCTTGATACGTATTGTGTATCATTAACACGCGCGTCGTAATGTTACGACACGCAAATGCGTGTCGTCTTCCTTTATGACAAGGCCTTCCTTGATAAGCATTGTGTGTCGTAAATGCGCGTCGTCTATAGATGACGCGCAAAAGCGCGTCGTCTCTCTTTATGACAGGGCCTTCCTTGACGCGCATTTGCACGTCGTCTGAGCCTTTTAGGACGCGCAATGAGCGTCGTAAAAGGCTGTTTTTCTTGTAGTGTATGCAAGAAAAATTAGCAATGTGATTCCATAGATGACAAGATATTTGTTTAATTCTATCTAAGTTGGTACTTGAAAGTGTTAACAAGCTCTAACACTTCCCATTCACCACAATAATTAACCAAAACAAGCTCTTTGATTAATCCTAACCTTACCAATCTAATCTAAACAAGCTCTTAGAATTAGGTTGAAAGATTGCATTAAACTTTATGTGAATGTTCCCAACAATAATCAATACTCCTCATAAGCTCGGGAGCATAAGAATATGTGAATAGATTTACACTAATTTCATTCAATAGAAATCAGATTAGTGCTTGTTACCTAGTCTAATTTACAAAACAATTATGGATTTTGCAATTAGATAACTTGAATGATCTAACCCTAATCCAAATGGCCAATAAGAATCACAATTAGAATCAAACATTCAATTGAGACAAAATCAAATTCACTAGATAGAAAATTGAAAGCAAACATCAAGTCATATGATTGAAATCACATCCAAATGTCAAGACATAAAGTTGGAGAATTTAGGGTTCTAGCCACTCATGGCTAGAACAAGATCACAAATCTAGAAAATGAAATTAAAGTTCTTACAAAATGAAATCAAATGTTCCCAAGTGTTAATCAACTTCAAAATCCTCAAGAAATTCGCCTTCTCTACTCCAAAAGTCGATCCCCTAAGTAAAAAGTCGGTTCCCCCTTTTAAGAATGGTGAAAAACTGCTTTAAAACTCACGTTTACGTTTACACGGCCCGCGTAAATTAACACTGTCATTTACACGGCCCGTGTAAACGCAAAAATATACTGCGCAGAAATCTACGCTTACACGGCCCGCGTAAACGCAAGGCTTCCATTTACACGGCCGTGTAAACATCTGTAAAGCCAAAATCCTCATTTCTTTGATATCTTGCTCCTCGGTGCTCCGCAAGTCCTGAAATTTTGTCCGCAACTTTTATTTACCTCCTCCAACAATATCCTTCCTCCAAAAGTCCCTAAAATATCACAAAAGTATTTGAATGAAATTGCCTCATGAAAAATCCCGAAAAACATGCAAAATGCTTGAGTTTAAGCCTATATGCAATGTACTTTTATAAAATAAAGCTACAAAATGGGTACATGAAATGCACCTAACATATAACATTTAAGTTACTGGCGCGTTAACCACTTGGGTTGTGGTGACTTGGTAAGGCATGTGGAAGATATGGTGGATAACCTATTGACCCATGTTCAAATCCTGGCACCACTCAGCCCTTGTGGCCATGGAGGTTCGCCTGCAGTGACTCCAGGGCATGAGGCAAAGCTTTATGTTTGCAGCGGGGGATTAGTCGGTGCGCGAAAGCTGGCCCGGAAACCCTCGTTAGGGAAGTTCCCTTTCCAAAAAAAAAAAAAGTTACTGGCGCGTTTACATATGTCAATGTTCAACTGACTCAAAACTATAACTCACACATCTTCGTTAGAAGAATATAAGATATTATCGACTCATGATCACTCATGATAATATCCATGAAGTGATTCAAATGAGTGTGGGTTGAATCCAATATTCGAATCTTATTCCAGAGGTACTCATGAACATTGCAGCCACTTTGTCCTAGACAAACTACAGACCCATTCCTGATAGTCTTGCCTCAATACCTACTTCCAAAGTATGATCGACTATGGATGGTTTGAATAACCTAGTTACTCGGGAAGTTAAAAAATGCAAAGTGAAACACAATAATAATACTAATCCTATATGTCCCAAAAACGTTTGAGTCATATTTATTTACTTATTATTCATTGTATAATGTTTCGAATAATCAACTTAATACTTGAATTAAAACAACAGTTATGGCATGCTCCAAGCATGAACACTATGTTTGTCTAAACGATAGTTATGCCATGCACCAAACATGCACACTATGTTTGTCTATGTTCGTGACTTTGTGAAATAGATCAATTGAAAAGCATTTCAATGATGCTCATTTCATAATTCCAAATCCTTATTGCAAGTGTAAGAATTCCAAATTCTTGTCATTGCTAGAAAGTGTTAGATACTAGACTTATCATGCAATGATTCTTTTGTAATGTCTAAGTGCCAAAAGTCATAGAGACTTGACCAATGTTATTACCAAAATGTTCCTTTGGAGATTGTTTCAAGACAATTCCATGGAAATGAAGTCTCAGATTCAAAGTACATTCCTTTGAACATCCTTCTTACATGAAAGTTTCAAACTTTCTCATATATTCTTCAACTCCCAATATGGAAACATTCCATATTTGCCATACAACAACTCATTATTAATAGACTCCTTTCTATTCATAATAATGTCAATATAACCCTTCCATTACTATACTTCCAACTTTCCTTAAGTGACCAATGGTTGGCGAACCTAAGATTGTCCTTAACAGTTGTTTAACCACTTTAGTTATATACGGTTCTATTCCTTTTTCCCTCTTAATGCCCTAGGTATTTGGAAAATTTAGAACACGAGAATATTATAGCATATGTAATCGATCCTATACCCGAAGCATATGGGATACGATTCATAATGTCTAACATAAAGACATGATACTTAATCAGTCTTTTGCTATCATGTTTCTATTTGCTATGTTCTCAAAATTTAGATTATGAAGAGGGATGTTGTAATCATAACCAAATTTTTGAGAAAGCAATTAACCTTTCCTTATATAGAATTTTATTATGTTGAACCATTCTAACATAACATTCATATATATATATATATATATATATATATATATATATATATATATATATATATATATATATATATTTGACTAAATTTGATTAAAATCTCACAATCTAAGCTTTTAGATTTGAAATGAAGTTTAAATTCCTCTCCCTTAATTATAGCAAAACAAGTTTTCAAACCCTGCGACTTGAAAATTTTGTTTTTTATAATTAACATTGCCAACTTGGAACACTTTCCATAATAATTATACTCCCACTAGCATTATAATTATTATCTTACTAGCATAACACTTATGCTCCCACTAGCTTTGACATGTACCCAGAAATCAACTGGACTTCTAGAAATCAATACTTATTGACTTTCTTACCAAAGTTCATATTTCTGATACGATATGCTTCGATAAGACTTTATCTAGGCTTCTCAAAATCATACACATTTCCTTAGATAGCGCACATGTGTGTCTAAATAATTTCAAAATTTACAACCATAAATCTGTAATGCTTAGACCCTTTGCCATTTCTCACAATTCAAATTATGAAAATGGATACCGTAATCATAATTGAATTTGAGAATGCAAATATCACAATTCTATCTCCTTAAAATCTACTAAGTGAAAGAGTTTCCTCACTATCATTTACATGAGTCGGAGAAAAACCTTATGACACTTAGATTTTATGGTGTGTAAGTTCCTATCCATGTGAATTTGTCATTACCATAATCACAAGACAAGGTTAGTGACAAATCCATAGTTATATGGACTGAACTTTTTCAATCTTAATTTCTTGTCACCTGGCAGCACAAGGGCCTACCATTGCTTCCAAGTAATTACGCAAACAACTGAGAACTCATAGAAACCACATGCATAGTCAACTTTAACTGGAACGGGTACAGAAACAAAAATATGTCAACACGATAGGTTACAAACCTCAAGTCGTGTGCTAGTGTTTAACAATAGGTTTACTCTTGATTAGTTCTTGAACCTTTCAAGATCCTTAAGACTCCCACTGACCTCTTAACATATAAGATTCTCTTGTCATGATCCATTCCTTGACAAAAAAAATATTCAAGAGTTAGTGCAGATTCTTTTCAAGAATAACACTTCATACAATTGGCCTTAGCTAGTCTTTGTTTTATCCAAAACATCACAACTTACCAATTTCAAATGTACAAGAGTAAAAAAAAATTTACTCTACATTTGATAAGTGCTCTAAACCTTTCTTAAGATTATGTCACACAAGGTTACAATCTTAGAGTATGACTCTAAGAATTGTTTTGGGAACAAAGTATGACTCATCTTCTTGACTTAACCATTTCAACAATTCATGATTCCTCTTCTTAGCCATACTAGTGCACTAAGGTGTCCTTAGAGGATCAATTGTGATATGGTTTTCCATAATCATTAAGATGATCATAAAACACGATACTAAAGTACTCTCCCATCCTTTCAGATTGGAGAAAATTTTATCTTTCTACCTAATTTGATTATTCTCATTCGTTTTGGCCATACATTGAACCTTTTCCAATGTTTCAGAATTATACTTAAACTTGTAAGCATAACCATATTTACAAAACTTTAGTAAATCATGACGAATAGTCTTATCGATCTTTATGGTGGATCTTGACCAACGCACACCCAGTGTACCCAATCCCCTAGTCCTTCATTTAACTCACATATACATGGGAACAAGGAATCGGTCTTAATTTACCAAAGATGAAAATTCTCATTCATCATACAAGTCGTATGATTCCAAGTTTCTATCCA